CTAAATTTCAAAGCTGTAGTTCGATTGGAAGTGGGTAAGAAATCGATACCAAGATTTGTGGACAAGACACTCAAGATGAATAAAAGCTTTTAAAAAGAGGCCTTGTGAAAACTTGGGAAATTTTGCTAAACAGAATTTTAAGTTTGGCGACAGAAGCCGTTTAGAAATAAGATGTTACAGGGATTGATTAATTTTTGAGGTTACAGTAAGAGGAAAGCCTCCCGAAGAGATTCGAACTTGTAAGCTCCTGTTTGCTAGACAGGCGCTTTAACCAACTAAGCTACAGCGCCTGACTCTTTTGGTAAAGTTAATTTAGTTTGCTTATTTTCTAGTTTATCGTCCAGTTTTAAAGCTACACGAGAATTTTCGGGAACTAGATTACGATTACAATAGCTCAGCCGATCTTACTCTCCAAGCATTCACACCGTATCATGGTGAAGTTTCATACAAGACTACAGAACGACCACTAAGGCGTCATATATGGCGAATCTGCACTAAAATCGAGTATCGAACACGTTATCCATATTTTAATTCGGGTCAAATATGATTTTACTGTTGAAAAGTACACAGTTTAAAACTTTGACTACGAATGAGATCCAATAACTTCCACTAACAATCCAAAAAATTATTGACAAATCTATTATAGAGTTAAACTATCTATTAATTGCATGAAAACTCTACGGCTAAAACTATGAATAATAGAACATGACATGGTGCAATATATTTATTATTACATATCGTAAATTATCCAAAAAGAAGACCATAACATATTATATTGCATGGGTTCGTTTTCAATCGAAATACAAGAACTCATAAAAATTCTCTCTCTATATATATATTGTTGGATATTTTATTTAGTGTGTTCTATCCTATTTTATTTCTTATACAGTCCTTTATATTTCAAGCATTGCTTTTCTCAGATTATTCTAGTCACTTGAGGGCTACAAACGATAATGCAATTATCTTAACTCGGGAACAAATCAATTAATTATGATCTAGCAAAGAGGATGGTAAACTGTTTGCACTAAAAATTATGATACCAGCAATACTGAATTGCTCGAAATCTAACGTACGAATCACCCCGAGGCGAAACGATAGGATGATTAAAGATCGAATAATTATTTAGAGACTCAAATTTCAATAAATAATATTCTTCCCATTTAAATTGAAATTGCTAGTAACGTTGTAAATAAACGTAGTAATTTAAAATGATGTAACATTTACCTTGCCTATCAGTGGCGACGCTCAGGCAAAGAAATTTATATAATAATTTTATTCTATGCGCAAATTTAAAAAATAACATAAAGGCATGAGAAATAAAATTAA